AAAAAATTATAATTTTGAAAATTTCTCAACAAAAGTCCCTGAATATTGATATCTCGGCATTCTAAACTGGCGAGAAAACTTTGGCTTGGGCTATTTTTTGAAAAATAAGCCAGAAAATCCCTTGCTACATCTTTTTAGGCGTCTTAAAACTCTTACTGTCATATGTAAGAACCCAAACTTTAATATATATATATATATATGTATATATATTTGCATATGTATATGTATATATATATGCTTCCATTTCTATTATATATAAACGTAAAAAAAGGATTATTTTCCAATGATAGAAGATAATGTTACACCGCAAGTTATTATCGCATTTCATTAACTAGGTCCCATTACACAAAATAGTTAGCACAATTCAATCCAATATCAATATCCAATTCCAAATATCGAATCGTGTATCTTTAAACTTGATAGTTGGAATTCAATCTTATTCGCAATATATAAGCGAATGCGACAATGGCTGGACGAATAAGACTAAACAAACTGAGGAGGTCGCACACGCATTCCATTCTTGCATTTCACGGCATATTTTTGTTCTTCGATGCAAGCGATTCATATTAACATAATGACATGTAGAAATATTATAGCCTCTACTGATATAGAGGGCGTACTTCCACAAATGTGCACAAAGCAGGTCCGCCTTTAATTTATTATTGTTGTTTAATTTATTTGTAAGCTGTTAAACAAGTTTTAAAAACATTAAAATTATGTTTAAATGCGATGCAAAAACATCAATTATCTGATATATGAACGCTTAAAGGCATTGTATTGAGCATGAATACAATAAAGGTAATAGCAAAGGAAAAATGCCTTAAGCTTTAAGCCTAAAAGTAATCGTCTGAAGTACAAAGTTAATGAAATTCATATTTTAATAAAAAGTACGAAGTATTTTATATTAAGAAGCAAAGAAACTGAAAAAACAGAAATTTGTTTATTAAACATGACTATCAACTAAAGACGAGAAATGCCTGAAACAGTTATTAAAATGTGTTATATGCTAATAAAACTTAACCTTTGTAAACGAAATACAAAAATACTTAAAAAAAATTTTACGAAACTTTTTAATCATTAATAATGTTTTCTCTTTTGACGACATCTTATATATCGTATGTAAAGAAGAGAAAATCTTCGAGTAATTGCCAAGCAAGTGAACTGTGCTCGGTATTTGCGGTAATTGCGATCTGAAGCAATTGTAACTTGCTTATGTACATTGTTTTGAATATTTTGAATATTTTCTATGAAAGAAGTGAAACAGAGACAGTAACTTTTGCTGCTGCTGCATCAATTCTTCGAAAGAAGAAGATTAATAAAAACAACAAGAACTGAATGGCATTAGCGAGGAGTTCCTTATTGTTAAACTCAATTTTTTGATAAACGTTAAAAAACTTTAAGTTCGAAATTTCATAGCGATTTAACCCCGATCTAACCACGATCAGGCTTTGACGCTCATTTGAATATTGATTTTCATATTTTTTGTTCAATTATTTCAAAAATTTATTTTTGAAAATGAAATATGGAATAAAAGTTAATATTAAAAGAAAAAAAAAAGTGTTTGCAGGTATAAGGTTAAAATTGTAGATTGCACACAAGGATATAAGACGAAGAGACAGACAAGCAGACAAGTTTATATAATAAAAGCCGGATCTAGCCCATTGTAAATAGCGTTCGTTCTTGACGAAAACAGGCCCTAGTACCAAATTTCATCAAAATATCGGAACGATTCCGACCTTTACGTTGAACACAAATATATAAGACGGACAGACAGATAGACAAATTCAGATCAATTCCGAAAAAAATGACTGAATCGATTGGTATAATAACAGACATATTTTTCCCAAGTCCTTCTGGGTATTATATAATAAACCTTTGCATCACAAGTGGTTTAGAGTAAAAACTTGCAAACTTTTATATGGAGCTGACAAAAAAAAAAAAATATTTAAGCTACAGACAAAACAAAGAGCATTTTATCCCTATAATTATCATAAGTGATTAAGCGCCACATTAGCCTACAATTCGATGTCAAAACGCATGATCGGACTAGCAGTAATAACAGAAATATTTTTTACGATTTAATTTAGTTTTCTTAAGTATTTGTTCATTTAAATATGGTTTATAATAGGCATCCTAGGGTCAAATGTTGGTAACTCTCAGAACTTATGCTAAATTGGCAGCTTCAATAAACTTGATGTAAATGAGAAGAAAGTCCAACGTAACTTAGTAAAAAAAATTGTAGAAAAGTTTGAAATTTTTAGCATTGGTGTGCCTACTGGGTAAATCTTCTGCTACCCCCTTAAAGTTCTTTTTGTATTCATCAGATTCCTGCATCTACTCTTGTTTTTTTTTTTTGTTTCATCTCCTCAAGCTGCAATACTTTGCTCGGTACTAACAAGAATAGTAATTGTCGTAGGTTATTTGAAATTAAGTTAATAGATTCCCATTTAATGAAAGTTTTTTTGTTCTACAGATCGAAAGAAGATTTCGAATAATAGGGTTTCCAAGGATCTTCTAAAAATTACAAAGAAACATTTCAAAGCCTGACTGACTGCCTTGTTGGAAATTTTATTTTAAATTACTGCGGTAGATTTGTAATGGTATATGATATAATATATATATATATATATATAATAGCGCATTAAGATATTTTTCAAGTTTTTTGTTTTTTTTTTTGACAAAAACCCCTAGAATTGTGCAAAATACAAAGTTTAAGTTTTTAATGCCATTTTGATTGCAATATAAAACCGTATAATAAATGTAAATCTATATCGTATATTATACCATATATTTTTCAATAAAATTCTAAACACGAATTCATGATTATGACTGCTTTTTAATCACTTCTTTTTTCACTTAATATTTTATTATTATTTTTTCACATTCATCGCCTATATGTGGACACCCCGTTTAAGGTATAAGAAATATGACGACCTCGTTTGACTTGATGTCCATCATTTTTGGAAACTATAAAAACAGAGAAAATTATGCTAAGATTAGCGATTATGCCGAGATTTGTTGACAAACCTGACCTGAAATTTGTGAAACCTAATTGCAACTAGAGATCCGTCATTGATTACTAAACATGACAAACATGTGCTTCATGCGACTTTGTTTTTCATCTTCAATTTTCTATCACAGTTTTGTCTTTTTTGCGTAGAAGTTTCACTAATAGCTCTACTACTGCTTGCAATTATATTAATATGCTCTCTTGAATTATTCTTTAAGCCTTTCTCGATATTTATTGGAATCCTGCCTTTGGACATTTTAGATACGACTTGCATAATCCTCAACACAATGTTCCTAAATCCATTTATTTATTTGAAATCTCGTAATCATACTTTGTCGAGATAGAACCAAAGTAGAAAAAGAAATCCAAAAAATACCTTCTTTCCGCTTATGCATCGAATTTTTGGACAGCAATCGACGGTTAGGTGGATAACATTGGATTACGACTGCATCTTTGTCCTCAATCGATTCGGTACAGGAACTAATTCCTTTGCCTGTTCGTGCCGAGCTTGTTTCGGAATTGGCGCCTTATGGGCTTGGTGGACCATGTAGGTACTATTTCTTTGGTCGAGTTAGGTCACCCACACATCCAGGCATACCCACGACCACAAACCGAAAAGCTTCAAGATAGGGAATACGACGACGAGTTTAAGCCTGCGTACTTAAATCGGCTAATGTTCTACAATATATGAGGTTCACATTTGGTTTCCTGTTTACGGATTGCACCTTATATAAATATTTATCTACTCTTCATATCGTAGCACACTTTGATAAATTCTTCTCTAATATATATTAACAAATAAGTTCTTTCTCTCGCTGAAAAGGAGTAAAGAAGGAAGGATCTCTTTGTTCATATCGATCTTACAAACCGATCATGCAAACTAAACCTTTGTATAAAAACAGGAAGTAACGAAACGAGACAAACAACTAATAGAACCATAACTTAAGGCAACTTATCATATAAAACAATCATCAAAAAGTCGTGCAAATTTTTCACGTGTTAATGAAAAATTGCTGACAATTGATTATCCTAATCAATGTCCCTAAGAACTTGCAATATGACAATGACTTTGGGCATTCGTTTAATATTATTTTCTCTAAGGCTATAACAATAAAGTGTTGCTGCCTTAATGGCCGTAAATGTTGCCAACGAAAAGCTGGGCAGCATTCATACATTCATTCGTCATATACCTGATTTGAGTACTTTTTTCAATGCATTATAAATATTGATAAAAATCAAATACATCTGGATATCGTAATTAAAAAAATAATATAAACCTCGAGGATAAAAATTTTGTAAAATCAATCGCAATTAAGATGAAAAAATATTTACTTAAAATTATTAACGCGAAACTCAGATTTTAAAACAATAAAAGTTTATTAAATCATTAAATTCGCAAATCGATTGTATCTTAGCAACACCGTCTCGCGTAATTCTATCCAATTAACATCTAACTTAAGAAATCATTTATTATATACATGTTACGAGCCAAGAGGATTAGTTGTTATTCGTTTCCAGTCTTTGTAGTGAATTGTCTTAGAGGTGCCACATAACGCAACGCGAATTTCTAGAAGGATTCATTTTATTGCAAATATTAGAATTTGTTGCAATTAGTTGGTCGTATCCCATTTCCTAAACGATTGAGTAGTCAGATGGGAAAGTTGCTTAAGTTTGTCGCGATATTTTGATTCAACAAAGTCTCTATTGTGGGCTGAAACATATCTGTTCCAAGCAATTTAAAGGACATTTTTTTATAGTTCACATAACGATTCAAACGATATGCGCATTCACGCACCCACAAAAATTATTCGAGCAGAAATTAAAGATTTTCAGGAATTTATCTGCTGGACTTGTTTAGTGGCCACGAAGCCGCTTCAGAGTTGCATGCCATGCTAGTGGCAAGAAAAGAACTCAAGAAGCTATCCGATCAACTTTTTTAATTTCGCTTAAAGAAAACCTAATAAATACGAATTTCTTTTTTATAACTCACTTGGACGATGACACCAATGCAGTAAAATATAAATCTCCAAAATTCCAAGAATGCATTAAAATATCTCAGTAATTTGCTTTTAGAAATTCTTAGATGAAAAACTTGAATTTTTTTATTATTAAATTTTTTATTAATATTATCGCTTAAACGATTGCCGCTGTTCGAGGCATTGAATATGTGATGATATTCATCCCTTAAATTTGTTGCTCGACTGTTGATGTTATTATTATCATGAAAATGGCTTTGATTATTATTTTCCTCAAGCATTTTGCTAAGATTTTTCTTAGGTTATTGCACTATTTTTAAACACAATTTTTTTTCTTTTTTTTAATTATATGTTTGCGTAAAGCTCGCAAATATTTTGTAAGAACTTTTTTTTGATATCTTGGAAAAGCGATATATATATAAACAATCAATAATAATGAAAATAATTGAAACTTAAAGCCGTTTTTTTTTTTTGCTCTGGCAAAATTTATTTATTTATATTTATTGCAATTTTTTCTAAAACAATTTTGTTTTTCTTTTCTGTTAATATAGCACAAAATCGTTTTCGCGGTACATACACAAGCATACGCATATAAAACAGAATTTTAGTTGCGTTGGCACGTCCGCTCTCATGAGCGTAACAAACATTTGTGAACGTTGAAACGTTAAAACGACACCAGAAAGCCTTCTTAACTTAACTACGGGTATAAACAGCGATGAATGCGAATGTTTTTGTTTGGTTTTCTGTCGTTTTTTTTCATTTTTCATTTTTCTTTTTTTGTTTTTTTTTTGTTATTTTTTTTTTTCATTATAATTATTTTATTTTTGTTTTCGTTTTTGTTTTTCTATAATAATTCTGTGTTGTGTGGATTTAGCAAGCACTCGAGCTTAATGTATCTGCAAAAGTACCCTTAGCTTTTTCTTTATACTCTCTAGACTACTGCTGCTGCTGCTGCTGGTTGGGTTGGTTGTACCAGTAGTTGACGATCAAATGTTTATGTTTTTTCAACATATATTACATACATATCTATGTTAAAGCTAACATTTGCAAGTAAGTAAGTAAGTGAGTGAGTGAGTGAATGAGCGAGTGCGCTGCTTATTCCTCTTAACCTTTCATTATCAAAGACTATTTGTTTTTACTGTTTTTACTTTCAAGATAAAACACCGCACAACATAGACCTTCATTCGGTGGTCATTTCTTTTAGTTTTCTTTCTTTCATTATTCAATTTATGTTTCGGTTATGCTTTAAAGCACATACGCATATAAAGATGTTTTTTTTTTTTTTTTATTATTTTTTAATGATTGCATAATGATTTCAGTCATCATTGAAATGATTTACTACACAGTAATTAGGGAAGAGTGGATGATTAAAAACTGCGAAAAGTAGAAACGAACGAAAAAAAAAAATTAATAAAATTTACAAATGGTTTTATAGAAAACCTTGCATTAGCTAACACTAATATCAGTTATTAAAATCATTTACATATGAGTCAATTAAATGATTTTTAATCCATAAAACGTTTCTATCATGTCTATAATCATTTATTTTACTTGATAATTTCTCGTGTACTTTTTTTATAATTTCATTTAAAAGTCAATAAAAAAGTCTATCATTTAATAATTATTTATGAACATTTGATATTTGATGCTCTACTTGTTCGAAGCATGCGCTTTAGGTCACAGCTCAATAACAGCTGAGACCTTGCGTTGAACGAATCCTAGTTGCAGGGTTATCGCTGCCTGGGTATGTTTTGCACTCAGGCCTTACCGTTGTGTGGTTACTTTCCGCGTAATCCGATTCAAACCCCAAATGTTATGCTTTAAGCTAACTATTTGCATAAAATACTCATAAATTTAGAAAAAGATGCAAAGTATTTTTAGAAAATTTATAAAATTAATATGAAATACATTATATATATATATATATATATATTCACGGCACCCATCAATTTCACAGGTTTTTGATTTCAAGTTTAAAAATTTTGCATAAGGAAGTCGATATCTTTAGATGTTTTATACTGGTTTCTAATTATTAATGCAGCAAATATACAAATTTAATCCTTTTTTTTTATGGGACACGCCCAACTTTACCATTTTAATGTTTGATGCGAATCGTCGCACTCGCAAAAATGAAGATAGGAATCTAAAGTTTCGCACAAACATTTCCTAATCGATTAAATATACGAGACACGATCTGGTCAAAGGAAGGAAACTAGAACAACCCACGAATCGTCGATGCTTCCCACGAATATATTTTCAAAAAGTTATCATTCATATGTTTATGATGATCACTTTCGTGTTCAGTCGAAGAGTGGTTCTAATCGGATTACTAATCCCTCCACTATTAACGATAAATTGCGATTCAATGCGCCTATCTTCTACAATGTGGGATGGAATGTTTGTGCTCAGTTTCAGCTTGCTGTCTTCATATTTGCGATTGTGATGATTTATAATATTTACGGGTTTCCGTAAACCGGTTATTACATATCCTGAATCACATCGTCGCAAACAAATGTAAGAATGATAAAGAAATGTGGAAATAGCAGTATACGTAACGGTTGAATTCGATGATTTTGATCTTCTTCTACAGAAACTAAAAGATTTCGAATTAATATTATTGATATATTCGGCCTAAGCTGATGCTAATCATGGAGCTCTCGAACTTCTTCCTTTAAATTCAAATCAAAATCTTCTGCCGAAGACCACCAAACTCGTTCAAAGGCTTATGGTGTTGTTTCTCCATTATATACCTATTGTCGGTTTTTGGTCTCAAGGGCTTAAAAGTGGCGACACGAATTGCCTGAATATGCCACTTACTGGCCAATTGTTGCAAGAGTTGTCCTGGATACACTCTTGCAGCTCGAATAGGAATTTCAGCCACGCCCAGCTTACTCGTCGCGCCATGGCACCTCCTGGTTACCACTTGTTCAGACCGGTGCTGGCACGCGGGTACGCAAAGTTGAAAAAGCGCAGTGGATGGATCGCTGCCAAACCGATATAAGTTCTGTCGACAAGATAACCATAAGCCATGTTGCCAGAACTATTGCAAAATGTTGTTGAAGAGTACCAATATTCCACAATAAATGCTTTTTTCAAGTGAAAAAATGATCGATATTTTTGCAAAGGCCTAATAAATCCGAATAAGTGAATTTCTGTACTTTTCCACTTTTCAAGGAAAATAAAAAGATCTTTAGCGGTTGAAAATTTAAGGCTATAATTAGATAATAATTAAATAAATAAGTAAACATGTCACTGCATAGAAAACGCAATAAGCTGGAGAAATATTTTCTCAATTTATAATTAATCTGCTTTGTTATTGTTTTGTTTATTTATTTTTTTCTTTAAATGATTGCTTAAATTGCAGCGGCCACTATTAATTTTTATGTATTAACGGGATAATAGCAGTTGAACTTTAATACAATCGCAAAATGATTATAGCAGTTTCGAAGAAATTTACAATACCACTGCAAATAAATCAATAAAGTGCTTAGACTAGAACTTCCTTCTAGATTACCTAACTTGCAGTCGCATTAAAAACTCATAGATAAGTTAAATATGAATATAGTTTCAATACAAGTAAATATCAAGTGTAGCATGCACGATAGAGTAAACCTGATCATATCGTTATAGCGAATTATTGGTTTAAACGGCAAATGATTGTAGAATTTTAAGCAAACTATAAAACACTAAAGCGAAACAATGTTTCTGCCAAAGAAATCAATAGCTTTATTGTGCAAATTGACGGATGGATGGATGGATTTTAGGGTTTGACCCCATTCATCAATCAGAATGTATGTAACAGATACTACGCAGACGCGGATGCATTATGGTTTGATACTAATCAAGAATATGTATACTTTGTGGTGTCCCTGATGCTTCCTTCTGGGCATTGCAGACGTCTTGACTAAATGATGTTTCGATAATGGCTATAAACAAATGTTTTACTAAGCTTTCATTTAAAAGATTTAAAGAACCTACAAAGTAAAAAGTTTATTCCGGCTACTTTTACATGGTTGTATGTTACATAAGTTGATCTTTTTATGCTCGGTAGAGCGGATCAAACAACATGCAAAACAAGGCCTAAGGCGAATGTTACCTTTAATCCTAGACTGATCGATCAATTCTCGTTGCTTTTTGAAACTGTTGCTTGGTGGTGTTTTTTTTTTTTTTTTTTTTTGCAATCTCTGGTAAATGAATGCCATTTGCTGAGTTGTATAAGGCACACTATCATTCTAATCGCGCCTCTAACACGCTTGCCGTGACCAATATGCTAACAAAGGCAGCACAAAATAAACAATTACAGCCATTAAGCTATTGATTAGAAAATGAAAAAAAATAAAATAAAATATATATTAATCGGAGATTTTTATTTGTAGATGTGATGTGAAAAAAAAAAAATGCACTAATCGGAGGTGTTTTTTTTTTTTCTAGATTTTCCCCTTTTTATCAACATCATATTACATTGTAAGAATTTAAATATTTTTTTATTCGTTGCATTTATAATAGAATGGAATAATTAAACAAATACAAGTAATAGTCTTTTAATAAGTATGTAAGTAATAAAAAAAAGTAAGTAATTTATAATTTCTACAATGAAAGCACAATTTCAATTTCAAGCTTCGATTGAGCGCTAAAGTCGAAATTCGTTTAGATGAAGAAAACTTTCGAAGACATATTAGGGAGATATTAAAGTAACTCTAAGGTATCGTGTGTTATTCTTTCATAACTGAAGAAAAGTTAAAAGTCTCGTTTAAGCTAATTATAATTTGAAAATAACTTGAGGATTATTATTGAAAGGAAAAAATTATTTTTTAACGATTCCTATAATGAATTGTATATAATTTTATTATAGTGAAATTACAATCAGTTTTAACATTGTTTCGTACAGAAAACCTCCTTCTTAATCACTTGAACTTTTAATCTTTATACGACGTATATAGACATACATATGCGCATATTTATATATATATATATATATATATATATATATTATAATATAATTACAAATATGAATTATCATTTGAAGTAATTAATTGTTTTTTATTATTATTATTATTATTACTATTATTATTATACAGGTGAACTGAGCTAATAATTGCATATGTATTAGGTAGTGCTGCTAAAGAGTAAATATTAAATAGAATTAAGCGACTTAATTAATTAAAAGAAATAATGCATAACATTGTTATATCTTTCTACAACTAATGGTTGTTTGGTGCTGAATAAACCACTTTTTATTTCTTTTTTTTTTTTTTTTTTTTTTTTACATATTAGCTACATTTTGAAACAACGGAGCAAAGACGAGTTACGGAAATCAACCATCTAAGATAAAGTACTTATAATAAGCTAAGGCGGAATCATGTTTCTCACTTCGTCTACTAAACAATG